TCGGCCTAAATTCAAAACTACAGGTTTGGGTAAAATCCAATACAGAGTGAAACCCTCTGTATTGTCAAGTATTGTGGTGGCAGCATCACGTTAAGGGTATGCATGTAACCGGCAGGGACTGGGGAGTTCGTCAGGATCAAAATAAATAAGGAGCAAAGCCCAGGTAAAAAGTTCGAGGAAAACCCGCCTCAATCTTCTGAAACCTAAACCCTGGATAGAGTTTATTTTTCCAAAATACACACCAGCATGGCTTTCTACAAGGGGTTGTGTGTTCCTGAGTGGTTTAGTTTCAGTCCTGACTTAAATTTGCTAGACAATCTGAGATGTTTGAACATTGCTGTCCATCAATGCTTCCCAACCAAATTTACTGAGCTTGAGCAATTTTGACAAAAACAAGGGAAAGTATTCATACCCCTTGACTTATTCCACATTTTGTTGTGTTATAGCCCAAATTAAAAATGTATTAAATATATTGTTTCCTCACCCATCTACACACAATACCCCATAATGACAAAGTGAAATCATGTTTTTAGAAATCTTTGCAAATTTATTGAAAATGAAATATCTAATTTACATACAGTACCAGTCTAAAGTTTGGACACACCTACTCATTCAAGGGTTTTTCTTTATTTTTACTATTTTCTACATTGTAGAATAATAGTGAAGATATCAAAACTAGGAAATAACACATATTGAATCATGTAGTAACCAAAAAAGTGTTAAACAAATCAAAATATATTTGAGATTCTTCAAAGTAGCCACCCTTTGCCTTGATGACAGCTTTGCACACTCTTGGCATTCCCTCAACCAGCATCATGAGGAATGCTTTTCCAACAGTCTTGAAGGAGTTCCCACATATGCTGAGCATTTGTTGGCTGCTTTTCCTTCACTCTGCGGTCCAACTACATCCCAAACCATCTCAATTGGGTTGAGGTCAGGGGATTGTGGAGGCCAGGTCATCTGATGCAGCACTCCATCACTCTCCTTCTTGGTCAAATAGCCCTTACACAGCCTGGAGGTGTGTTTTGGGTCATTGTCCTGTTGAAAAAGAAATGATAGTCCCACTAAGCGCAAACCAGATGGGATGGCGTATCGCTGCAGAATGCTGTGGTAACCATGCTGGTTAAGTGTGCCTTGAATTCTAAATAAATCACTGACAGTGTCACCAGCAAAGCACCTCCACACCATCACACCTCCTCCTCCATGCTTCATGGTGGGAACCACACATGCAGAGATCATCTGTTCACCTACTCTGCGTTTCACAAAGACAACGGTTGGAACCAAAAATCTCAAATTTGGACTCATCAGACCAAAGGACAAATCTCCACCGGTATTATGCCCATTGCTCGTGTTTCTTGGCCCAAGCAAGTCTATTCTTCTCATTGGTGTCCTTTAGTAGTGGTTTCTTCGACCATGAAGGCATGATTCACGTAGTCTCCTCTGAACAGTTGATGTTGAGATGTGTCTGTTACTTGAACTCTGTGAAGCATTTATTTGGGCTGCAATCTGAGGTGCAGTTAACTCTAATGAACTTATCCTCTGCAGCAGAGGTAACTCTGGGTCTTACTTTCATGAGAGCCTGTTTCATCATAGCGCATTATGGTTTTTGCAACTGCACTTGAAGAAACGTTCAAAGTTCTTGACATTTTCCAGATTGACTGACCTTCATGTCTTAAAATAATTAAGGACTGTCCATTCTCTTTGCTTATTTGAGCTGTTCTTGCCATAGTATGGACTTGGTCTTTTACCAAATAGGGCTATCTTCTGTATACCACCCCTACCTTGTCACAACACAACTGATTGGTTCAAACGCATTAAGGAAATAAATTCCACAAATGAACTTTTAAGAAAGGCACACCTGTTAATTGAAATGCATTCCAGGTGACTACCTCATGAAGCTGGTTGAGAGAATGCCAAGAGTGTGCAAAACTGTCATCAAGGCAAAGGGTGGCTACTTTGAAGAATCTCAAATATAAAATATATTTTGATTTGTTTAACACTTTTTTGGTTACTACGTGATTCCATATGTGTTATTTCATAGTTTTGATGTCTTCACTATTATTCTACAATGTAGAAAATAGTAAAAAATAAAATAAAACCCCTTGAATGAGTAGGTGTGTCCAAACTTTTGACTGGTACTGTAAGTATTCTCACGCCTTTGCTATGACACTTCAACTTGAGCTCAGGTGCATCCAATTTCCCTTTATCAGCCTTGAGACATCACTACAACTTGGAGTCCCACCTGTGGCCAATTCAATTGTTTGGACATGATCGTTTGGAAACAAAGTCTATATAAAGGTCCCACAGTTGACAGTGTATGACAGAGCAGAAACTATACCATGAAGTCCAAGGAACGGTCTGTAGATCTCATAGATTGAATTGTGATGAGGCATATATCTGGGGAAGGGTATAAAACCATTTCTAGAGTGTTGAACTTTCCAAGAGCACAGTGGTCTCCATCAAAGGGGAAATGGAAGAAATATGGAACTACCCAGACTGCCTAGAGCTGGCCATCCGCCCAAACTGAGCAACCAGGCAAGAAGGACCTTGGTCAAGGAGGTGACCAAGAACCCAATGACCACTCTGACAGAACTACAGAGTTCCTTGGTTGAGATGGGAGAACCTGCCTGAAGGACAACAGTCTCTACAGCACTTCACCAATTTGGGCTTTATGGGAGAGTGGCCAGACGGAAGCCACACCTGAGAAAAAAGCACGACAGCAAACCTGGAGTTTACAAAAAAGGCATGTGAAAGACTCAGAGCATAAGGCAAAATATTCTGTGGTCTGATGAGACAAAAATATGATTATTTTGCCTGAATGCAAAGCACTATGTCTGGAGAAAACCAGTCACAGTTCATCACCCGTCCAACACCATCGCTACCATGAAGCAGTGTTGTGTTCGAGAGACAGATTCAAGACCAAGAACGGAGCAAGTCAAGACCGAGACGGGGACAGAGACCGAGTCAAGTCAGACCAGAAAAATGCGAGTCCAATTCAAGACCATGATTGTAATTTTGTTAAATCACCACCATAAGAGTTCAAAATGTCCAGTATTTCGGTGTTCATATTTCAGAACAACATATGGATTCTTTAGACATTCAGAATAGTGAAAAAATGCATGCTGAGGGAAAATAGAGCCACTCTACAAATTATTACTAACCCAAACATAGTGGGAAACAATGGGCCTTCTACGCCTTCAGAGAAGGATTTATAAAATAATGATTATAATAATTGTATTATTTTCAATTATGTTCTGATTTAATTTCTTCAGTTTTGTTGGAAAGGAAAGGGTTAACACTGAAGAGAAAAAAATATCCAATCAGGATTTTTCTTTGCTGTCTCTAGGGAGATAAATCTAGCTAGCTAAGTCAACTAATCACATTTTGACTTAATGAGTGGGAGCGTTTTTACTAAAACGTATGGAAACTTCTGCCTTCTTGAAGGCCAACAGGTTACTGCGCAATAGCGAGCAGTAGTTTGCCCATGGTCTAGCTAGCTAGCTTTTGTTGTCAGCTAGTTTGCAGCGGCTGCAGCAGGTGTTATCAAAGATGATGTTGTTGCTAATTCGTTAGCTTCTCTCTTTTCAAGAATACCTTTTAACAAGAAGTTAAGTTTCAAATGATCATCACCTCGTGAGTGGAACTTTATTTTTATTGCAACACACTTGCTGTTAGCCATTTCTTTGAAAATAACTTGTGTGTGAAACATTGTTGCATTTAAAGTGGAACTGACAGCATTTTAGCAACATTAAATATTATTGAAATCTGTTCATATACAACCCCAGGAAGAATAACACTATAATCATTTACTGGTAAATATCATGAGTTGAAACGTCTTTCCTACTGTACCGGCTACCAATGTCATTCTTCTGTGAGCTGCTCCATGCCAAAACCAGTTGAGAGATGCATACTCTTGCTGCCTGCAGATGATATTCCGCTGAAACTAGGCTATGCGAATATATTTCACGTGCTTTGTGATTGTGTAGGCTACTTTGTGCATGATTTCTCTATTGTACTACATAATTGATAAGTCGTACACCTCCACTACACTACTTTGATATGCACCAGTAGCGATTAAGAAGTGAGTATAAGCAATACCCACTGAAAGAAAAGTGGGTATACGGCTTTGTGTTTTACAAAAAGGGAACTCTCCAACATGAGTGTGCTGGTATTACGGTTGCTGTCCTTTCAGAATCACGAACCTGTCACACACTGAAAGCCTATGTCTATAATAGATATAAAGTCTGTTAAAATATTAATGTTTCTAGAAAGGAGTGTATATATTTGGCCTGACGAAGCAGTTTTATGCGTTGACTGAATGGAAGCTGATAATTATTAGTTGAGAAAATCTGCAAGGAAGAAAATCCCCAAATCCAAACGTGCAAAGCTGATACAGACATACCCAAGACGACTCAAAGCTGTAATCACCGCCAAAGGTGCTTCTACAAAGTATTGACTCAGTGGTGTGAATACTTATGTATATGAGATATTTCAGTATTTTATTTTCTATATATATATATATATATATTTTTTTTTTATCAATTTTGAATTCAGGCTGTAACAACAAAATATATGAATACTTTCTGAAGGCACTGTCTGTTGCCCTAGGAGTTGTGCAAAGTTGGTAGAACCTTATTCAAAATGATTCCAGCTGTAATTGCTGCTAAAGGTGCTTACACCAAGTATTAACTCTGGCGTGTGAAAATGTGTAGATTAGTAAAAACTAAATAAAAAGTAATCCCTTTTTAGATTTAATTTTAAGGCAGCAAAATGTGAAGACTTGTGCAAGGGGTGTGTAGACTTTCACTAGGCACTGTACTTTTGAGACTTGCACCTAATACTATGATGACCTAAATCTATAAATGATTTATTTCTTTAGGTTATTTATTGTGTGAGGGTATATACACATTCTCATAAGACTGCCTTGATATTTACTGTAACTACTAGTGGTGAAGCAGCCGTGGTGTGTGTAGTATCATTGACAGTGTAGTAGTCCTTACCTCATGGGACAGGTAGAAGGCAGCGATTCCCAAGGGCCAGAAGCAACATAGCATGGAGAAGACACTCAGGCCCAAGTGGTCCCTCGGTGGCATCATGAGAAAGTTGTCTTCACTCTCCGAGTCGCTCGAGTACTCGCTCTGTGAAAGAACAAAGAGTAACTACTTTAGATGGAGGTCAAGAAAGGTGAGCGGTTTACAGAAGACTGCACTACAGCACAGCATACGGTGGCCTTGCTGATGTTTAGTTGAAATAATTGTCATTCTGTATAGACTACAGATGGCTCTTGTTTTCCTCACCTCAGCACAGGTTTGTAAAGGCACTGAGCTTGCACAGCTGGGCTCTCTAGCAGTCGATTTGCACCGAGAGGGCCCTGTACATATCTTCACCCAGACAGGGGCACAACCAGCCATACCAACTGGACAATGATGGGCAAACTCAAACCTGGGTCCAGCAACTGAAAAGCCGACATCTCAAACCGGTCTGGGCTACCCCCGAATTCGCTACAATATATTTCCATGGTTGGTTTCATTGACTCTACCCTTTAACTGCTCCTAATTGACCTGTTTTTAGTTACAATCAGCTTGAGCAAAGTGAGGTGTAGAATCTCTGATCTACAAATAGTATTCCCTTCCAAATAGTATTCGCTGCTACACCTCCCCTTGCTTAGGCAATCCCCCCACGAAACACACACGCACCACCAGACATAGATTGGAGACAGCTTGTGTCAATTAAATAACAATTCCTAGGATTTCTACCTGCAGCAAACCTAGTGGATCAGGCTTGAAATACTGGTAAAATCAAAGTGTCTCCCATAAAAAAGCCAAAAAAGCATGGCCTTAATTATGAGGGCATTATTGTCCTGGAGGGTGGATTAGCAGGACACTACAACAAATCATTGCACCTCCTCAGAGTAGCTGATTAACTTCCGATGGATTCTGAGCATGATGCTAAAAATTCACTAATCTCATTCCACACACAGTGCCTGAATCTGACGGTAATGGGGAAACAGAGGCTATGTTTAGACAGGTAGCTCAATTCTGATATTTATTTTCATAGCCTCTGTTTCCCCATTACCGTCAGATAATGGTGCACACACAGCAGCGTGAAAAGCAATGACGTGGTGCACATATCTACATTGTGACGTAGTGTGCAATCTTCAGGGACCACTTTTGGCTTGTGAGCGCTGGCTACTGAGTAAAAAGTATACAAAGTATGAGGTACAGTATGTGCAATGACATTTTAAGGATGGTAGTCATCTACAATTATTCTGTGGGCACCTCATATTATTACATTGCTGTGTATATTTCAAACAACCCACGTTCAGAATCCAAGGAACTACTTTTGAATAAAGTCAAAATGAAGCGGGGGAGTTTTTTTTGCTTTCCCTATCATTTTACAACATACAGTAAACAAAGACCATATTAAATTAAGAATGATCTATAAAAATGTTGCATACCTTGACTGCTCCAGTGACAACCACCAGAAACCACAGCAACACCAGAAACCAGCATTTTAGTGTTGACTCAAATGTTTCCTGCAAACATTTTGTATTAAAATAACTAGTCGTTGAAGGTCACATAGACCCAGGGATAGGGAAATGCTATATCCACAAGCCGGCCACCTGAGCCCACATAATGTACATGTATTTTCCTGCCTGGTCTGTCCTGAGGCCTACTGAGCAGGGAAATGCCTGCTGAATCAGAGGTGGTGGACACAGCCGGAAGCAGCAGGGACCTAGTGGTCCAGACAGCCTTACACTTTTCCTCCCAGTTCTCCTCTGCTCCCCTCTATCATCTCTCCTCCTCAGTCTCCTCTCACCATATCATCTCCTTTCCCCCCTCTCCTATCGCCCCGTCTCTCAACGGAGCCTCTTTCATGCTGAGGTAGCCTTTAAAAAGCCTGATATTTATATTTCAAGCAGTGTGTAATATTCAGCTGTTTACTGCATAAAGGGGTGCTCTTAGTGAACAGCTTAAAGGACCCAATAGATCTTTCTCCTTCAAACAAAAACCTCAGAAATCCATCTGGTCCATTTGTATTTGGCTCTAAATACAATAATACAAAAATATAATACAAACGTCTAACAATACAGCAATACATTCATGCGTTTCATACATACACGACCGTTCAAAAGTTTGGGGTCACTTAGAAATGTCCTTGTTTTCGAAAGAAAAGCATTTTTTTGTCCATTAAAATAATATCAAATTGATCAGAAATACAGTGTAGACATTGTTAATGTTGTAAATGTCTATTGTAACTGGAAACCGCTGATTTTTTATGGAATATCTACATAGGCGTACAGAGGCCCATTATCAGCAACCATCAGTCCTGTGTTCCAATGGCACGTTGTGTTTGCTAATCCAAGTTGATCATTTTAAAAGGCTAATTGATCATTAGAAAACGTTTTTGCAATTATGTTGTTAGCGCAGCTGAAAACGTTTGTGCTGATTAAAGAAGCAATAAAACTGGCCTTCTTGAGACTAGTTGAGTATCTGGAGCATCAGCAATTGTGGGTTCGATTACAGGCTCAAAATGGCGAGAAACAAATAACTTTCTTCTGAAACTCGTCAGTCTATTCTTGTTCTGAGAAATGAAGGCTGTTCCATGCGAGAAATTGCCAAGAAACTGAAGATCTCATACAATGCTGTGTACTACTCCCTTCACAGAACAGCGCAAACTGGCTCTAACCAGAATAGAAAGAAGAGTGGGAGGCCCCGGTGCACAACTGAGCAAGAGGAGAAATACATTAGAGTGTCTAGTTTGAGAAACAGACGCCTCACAGGTCCTCAAATGGCAGCTTGATTAAATAGTACCTGCAAAACACCAGTCTCAACGTCAACAGTGAAGAGGCGACTCCGGGATGCTGACCTTCTAGGCAGAGTTGCAAAGAAAAAGCCATATCTCAGACTGGCCAATAAAAATTAAATATTAAGATGGGCAAAAGAACACAGACACTGGACAGAGGAAGATTGGAAAAAAGTGTCATGGACAGACGAATTGAAGTTTGAGGTGTTCGGATCACAAAGAACAACAATTGCGAGACACAGACCAAATTAAAAGATGCTGGAGGAGTGCTTGATGCCATCTGTCAAGCATGGTGGAGGCAATGTGATGGTCTGGGGGTGCTTTGGTGGTGGTAAAGTGGGAGATTTGAACAGGGTAAAAGGGATCTTCAAGAAGGAAGGCTATCACTCCATTTTGCAACGCCATGCCATACACTGTGGACGGCGCTTGATTGGAGCCAATTTTCTCCACAACAGGACAATGACCCAAAGCACAGCTCCAAACTATGCTAGAACTATTTAGGGAAGAAGCAGTCAGCTGGTATTCTGTCTATAATGGAGTGGCCAGCACAGTCATCGGATCTCAACCCTATTGAGCTGTTGTGGGAGCAGCTTGACCGTATGGTACGTAAACAGTGCCCATCAAGCCAATCCAACTTGTGGGAGGTGCTTCAGGAAGCATGGGATGAAATCTCTTCAGATTACCTCAACAAATTGACAAAGGTCTGCAAGGCTGTAATTGCTGCAAATAGAGGATTATTTGACGAAAGCAAAGTTTGAAGGACACAATTATTATTTCAATTAAAAATCATTATTTCTAGCCTTGCAATGACTACATTTCCTATGCATTTTGCTATATTTCCTAGTCAAACTAATTTCATGTATGTTTTCATGGAAAACAAGGACATTTCTAAATGACCCCAAACCTGTGAACGGTAGTGTCCCTTACAGTCTAATGTGTTATGATAAAAGACAGAGCCCCAAGCCTTACCTCCAGCTCCTGGAACTCATCATCGTCATAGGACAGGGTCTGGATCTTTGCATCCTCCACAGACAGGTCCAGGAACTTGCCATCGGCAAACATCACCGCATCCTTGGAGGCGGCAGAGGAGCCGGATGCCAAGTCCTCTATGAAGGTGGTCTCACAGCAATCCCCGACCCCTCCATCCCCCCAGGCCCGCAGTGTGTTCTCAGAGTACAGGATCAGGTCGGGCCTGAAGCATGGGTCCATGCCCTGGGGCAGAGTGCTGGGGTTGAGCAGCTGTGGGTGTCCCCCTCCTCCGCCCACTCCCCGGCCATTCTGCTCCTGCTGGGGGGACAGGTTGACCACCATGTGACCCTGATATTGGGGGGCCGAGTACACAGACACCAGCCCTTCCTTAGTCTCCACCATCAAGCTGCGGGTGTTGATCAGTCCATTGTGCTTGCAAGAGCCAAGCCTTGCATCACCTCCTCCCCCGGCTGGAGAAGTTGTCCCCTGGGTGGGGTACTCCACCTCCACAGCCTGGCTGGAGCCCGACCCCGCTCCCTGTCCCGGTCCAACCTCCATCCCGGCTTACAGAGCTGGATTGTTTGATCAAATCCCCTCCTCTTTAAAGGCCTCTCTCATATGGGCCTTGGGTTAGGGAAGGCATGGAATGGTAGGCTGCACTCTCCTGTGGGAGGTCAGATTAAAATGGCTTATCAGATAAAAAGGGCTTTTGTATTCGATTTACATTGTTGTTTTTTCCTCCATCAAAAGCAGTATAAAACACAGACAGAGCTTTAAACCTCTACATGCTTCCTCTATTCAGGTTACTGAATTGGTAATTCAGATGAGAAAAACATTTTTTATTTTTTTTGGGGGGGGGGGGGGGGGGGGGGGGTTTATCAGTGATTGGCTTTCTGCCTATTTTCATGTAATCTTGCACTCAGCTGTAAATGTATTTAATTGTGCTGATTTATTTAGGTAAATCCAGCTCAGTCAGAAACATGGTCAGGTAAAGGGGTTATCAAAAAGTGTTTTGTCAATTAACATCCACCATCTTAATTGCACAGCTGCCAGTTACAAAACATCAACCCTGCCAAGCATTAAATCCTGAGGGGTTCGGTGCTGCCTAAGGCACTTTAACTCCCAGCCTACATCACTTTACATTTCATCTGGTGGGGTGTGTACCAACAAATGCATTTTGTTGGCAAACACATACATGCCTGCATGTGTACACACACCTCACCCCCCTCTTTCCCTCTCTCAGCCCTGCAAGCTTTTGGTTCTCAACCATGCAAATGTAGTCCCTGCGTAAGCAGTAACGTTGCATGTCAGAGCCATAGATTCCACCATTGCATTATCTATCTGCATGCTATACCTTGCCAAGGTCTGGAATGGAAAGGCCCTTTTTGCTAGGTTCAGCAGTAAATTGTGTGTGCAGGATGAGAAATGGCCCACTGCAGGGCAGGCTCTAATGGACATGGCATCCTGGTCAGCTTTTAAGTGTATTGCCACAGACTGAGAGCAGCTTCTTGTGCAGCATCCTGTGACTAATTAGACACATCACTGAATGTGGGAGGTATTGGGACTCCCTTGGCTTGAGTTCAATCCTTTATGTGTTTGCTTTTTGCAAAAGAGTTCAACATGCTGCTTTGCATTCATGGACTCAGGGACAGTTAACCAACAGCCTTTAAGCACGTTATATCAAACATTAGCAAATTAATGGCTCATTAGCAAATTAAAGGCTCCAGTGGAATTAAGATGGACTGCCACTATTCAATTTCTATCCCCTTCAAAGCTCAAAGCTAAGGTCAAAGCTAAAGCCTATAGAAGGGACAACTGTTCAACATTACAAAATCTCTATTTACATTATGAGAATATCTAGCTGGTCACGTTTTGGCTCAATGACATAGTGCCATCTCTGAGCATATGACCATTATTGGCCATTACAAGAACAAGCTTTTAAAGGCTTAACTCAGCACTGAGCCTACATGCAATAAGGACAATAATGGCACAGTCCTTTTCCTGAAGAGATACGTTTATATTTTTGTGCAGTATATTAACATGTAAAGTGTTGGTTCCATGTTTCATGAGCTGAAATAAAAGATCCCAGAAATGTTCCATACGCACAAAAAGCTTCTCTGTGAAATTGTGTGCACAAATTGGTTTACATCCCTGTTAATGAGCATTTCTCATTTCCCAAGATAATCCAGCCACCTGACAGGTGTGGCATTGCAACAAGCTGATTAAACAGCATTATCATTACACAGGTGCACCTTGTGCTGGGGACAATAGAAGGCCACTCTAAAATGTTCAGTTATGTCACACAACACAATGCCACAGATGTCTCAAATTGAGGGAGCATGCAATTGGCATGCTGACTGCAGGAATGACCACCAGAGCCGTTGCCAGAAATTTGAATGTTCATTTCTCATACCATAAGCCGCCTCCAAAGTCATTTTAGAGAATTTGTCAGTACGTCCAACCAGCCTCAAAACCGCAGACTACGAGTAACCACGCCAGCCCAGGATCTACACATCCTTCTTCTTCACCTGCAGGATCGTCTGAGACCAGCCAACCAGACAGCTGATGAAACTGTGGGTTTGCACAACAGAAGAATTTCTACACAAAAGGTCAGAAACCGTCTCTGGAAAGCGCATCTGCGTGCTCGTCGTCCTCACCAGGGTCTTGACCTGACTGCTGTTTGGCATCGTAGCCAACTTCAGTGGGCAAATGCTCACCTCCGATGGTCACTGGCACACTGGAGAAGTGTGCTCGTCACGGATTAATCCCAGTTTCAACTGCACCGGGCAGATGGCAGACAGCGTGTATAGCGTTGTGTGGGGCGAGAGGTTTGCTGAGGTCAACGTTGAGAACAGAGTGCCCCATGGTGGCGGTGGGGTTATGGTATGGGCAGGCATAAGCTACGGACAACGAACACAATTGCATTTTATCTATGGCAATTTGACTGCACGGAGATACCGTGACGAGATCCTGAGGCCAATTGTCATGACATTCATCCGCCGCCATCACCTCATGTTTCAGCATGATTATGCACAGCCCCATGTCGAAAGGATCTGTACACAATTCCTGGAAGCTGAAAATGTCCCAGTTCTTCCATGGCCTGCATATTCACCAGACATGTCACCCATTGAGCATGTTTGGGATGCTCTAGATCGATGTGTACGACAGCGTGTTCCAGTTCCCGCCAATATCCAGCAACTTCGCACAACCATTGAAGAGGAGTGGGACAACATTCCACAGCCCACAATGAACAGCCTGATCAACTCTATGCGATGGAGATGTGTCACGCTGCATGAGGTAAATGGTCACACCAGATACGGACTGGTTTTCTGATCCACGCCCTACTGTTTTTTAAAGGTATCTGTGACCAACAGATGCATATCTGTATTCCCTTCCCAGTCATGTGAAATCCATAGATTAGGGCATCATTTATTTATTTAAATTGACTGGATTGCCTTTTATGAACTGGAACTCAGTAAAATCTTTGAAATTTTTGCATGTTGTGTTATATCTGTTCAGTGTAGATGGGCCACTTTGAAAGGGACTATAGCTCTGTCTTTTAAAAAAAATGTTTTATTTTTTACTCCTTTTTTCTCCCCAATTTCGTGGTATCCAATTGGTAGTTACAGTCTTGTCCAGTCGCTGCAACTCCCGTACAGACTCGGGAGAGGCGAAGGTCGAGAGCCATGCGTCCTCCGAAACACAACCCGCCAAGCCGCACTGCTTCTTGACACACTGCTCGCTTAACCTGGAATCCAGCCGCACCAATGTGTCGGAGGAAACACCGTACAGCTGGTGACCGAAGGAGTCGCTAGAGCGTGATGGGACAAGGACATCCCAGCCGGCCAAACCCTCCCTTAACCCGGACGACGCTGGGCAAATTGAACCCGGATCTGTAGTGATGCCTCTAGCATTGCGATGCAATGTCTTAGACCGCTGCGCCACTCGGGAGGCCCTATAACTCAGTCTTGACAAGCTAAGTCAATGAAGTGAGAATGTGAAGTGAAGTGACAATCAGTCCCCCCTCTCAACACTAAAATACAATGGAAACGGTAAATATTATTTTCCTCTGACAGTTTTTTTGGAGATTGGATTCAAAAAAAGATGAAGGTGTAAAATATGAATTTCAGTAGGTTTGATAGAAATCATTATTGTCAGTTGTTAGACTATAGTCCTCCCATGTCATGTTAATCACATTTTCGCATGGCTTTAGAAAAGCAGGAAAAATATGTTTTAGTATTCACAATATTCCAGGTGTTGTGTCTGCCAGTTCTTACAGCACTTTATTACAAAAGGCTCAACCTAGGGTTACTCAACGCTTACCCTACGAGGTCCGGAGCCTGCTGGTTTTCTGTTCTACCTGATAATGAATTACACCCACCTGGTGTCCCAGGTCTAAATCAGTCCCTGATTAGAGGGGAACAATGGACAAAATGCAGTGGAACTGGCTTTGAGGTCCAGAGTTGAGTTTCAGGGCTATAGCCTATGTATCTGAACGGTTACAATGTCACCTAAAAAAGGTATCACATATTGGCTAAAAGAGATGACAATGGGAAGGAAGTAATCAATCAGGCCAGATAATGTTTACGTTTTAAAATGAGTGTTAGGATAGCCTACCAGTCAACAACTTAACTTCCCATGAAAGCAATATACGGTGCATTCGGAAAGTATTCAGACCTCTTGACTTATTCCAAATTTTGTTACGTTACAGCCTTATTCTAAAATGGATTAAATAGTTTTTTTCCCCCTCATAAATCTACACACAATAACCTATAATGACAAAGCAAAAACAGGTTTTTAGAAATATGTTTGCTAAAAAAAATTAAAATTAAATATTTTACATTTACATAAGTATTCAGACCCTTTACTCACTACTTTGTTGAAGCCCCTTTGGCAGCAATTACAGCCTCGAGTCTTCTTGGGTATGACGCTACAAGCTTGGCACACCTGTATTTGGGAAGTTTCTCCCATTCTGCTCTGCAGATCCTCTCAAGCTCTGTCAGGTTGGATGGGGAGCGTCGCTGCACAGCTATTTTCAGGTCTCTCCAGACATGTTCGATCGGGTTCAAGTCCGGGCTTTGGCTGGGCCACTCAAGGACATTCAGAGACTTGTCCCGAAGCCACTCCTGCATTGTTTTGGCTGTGTTATCCTGTTGGAAGGTGAACCTTTGCCCCAGTTTGAGGTCCTGAGCACTCTGGAGCAGGTTTTCATCAAGGATATCACTGTACTTTGCTCCGTTCGTCTTTCTCTCGATCCTGACTAGTGTCCCAGTCCCTGCCGCTGAAAAACATCCCCACAGCATGATGCTGCCACCACCATGCTTCACCGTAGGAATGGTGCCAGGGTTCCTCCAGACGTGACAATTGGCATTCAGGCCAAAGAGCTCAATCTTGGTTTCATCAGAACAGAGAATCTTGTTTTTCATTACATTTTACATTTACATTTTAGTCATTTAGCAGACGCTCTTATCCAGAGCGACTTACAGTTAAGTGCATACATTTTTCATACTGGCCCCCCGTGGGAATCGAACCCACAACCCTGGCGTTGCAAGCGCCAT